GTCGGTCTCTGCTCAAGTTGGGGGTTTGGCACAACCTGTGGCGCAACCTGTGGCGCAATGGCGCAGTCTGTGGAGGGTCGACAACGTGGAGAAGTCTCTCCACGGTATTTCAGAGCGCGGAATTTCTGGCGCAGCCCGTGGCGCCGTCTATGGAAGGTAGGCTGTGAAGAAACTGCGATGCGGTGGTCGGGCCGGATATGCGACGCAATATACGGCACAACTTACGGCGCGACCCATGGCGAGTGCTGTTAGGCGTCTCTTGGCGGGGTGAAGTTAAAAGCTTCATGGCAACATGGTGCGGCGAGGTCTCAGGAGTAATGTTGCGAATGTCACCCGTCCCTGTCAGCGCATGCGTGTGTAGGTGGTGGACTGTCCAACTTTTGGAGCGTTACTTGAATGCAAGTCTAACGCTCAATACTTGTTCGGTGTTCGGATTGTTGATGTGTGTGATGGAGAGAGAGAGAGAGAGAGAGAGAGAGAGAGAGAGAGAGAGAGAGAAAGAGCGAGGGTGAGTGAGTGAGTGAGTGAGAGAAGAGGAGGAAAGGGATAGGGGAGAAGGGAAAGGGAGGAAAGGGACGAGGATGATGATGGTGATGATGATGCTGATGATGGATGATGATGATGATGATGATGATGATGATGATGATGATGTTGATGTGATGATGATGATGATGATGATGATGATGATGATGAGATGATGATGATGATGATATGAGGAGGAGGAGGAGGGAGGAGGAGGAGGAGGAGGAGGAGGGGGGAGGAGGAGGAGGAGGAGGAGGGGGGCAGGGAGGAGGCAGAGCAGGCCCAGGGACGGGAGAAAGGCACGAGGACGGTGGCGGAGGTAGGGTGCACAGCCATTGCCACGAGTGCGAAGCCGGGGTGCTCCCGATGGTGCTCGGGTCAAGGCTTGGAGGCCTATAGGGCCGTCTTGGGGCCCTCTTGGGGTTGTCGTAGGAGGAGGAGGCCTCTTGAGGGGGTCTTTGAGCCTCTTGGGAGCTTCGCTGTCTCAGGGCGTTCCTGGCCCGCCGGACGCCATCGGAAGCCGTCTTGGGCGCCTCGCTGTGCCGTCTGGGAGCACTTTGGGGGCGCTCCAGGGCCGTCTTGGAGGCTATCTTGGCCGTCTTGGGGGCCTATGGGGCCGTCTTGGGCCCTTTTTGGGGCCGTCTTAGGAGCCTCTTGGCCCGTCGGATGGCCATCTTGGAGGCCTCTGGGGCGATCTTGGGGGCCTCTGGGGCCGTCGGAAGGTCTAAACAAATGAAGCGCCCAAATCCTTCAAGTCCCTTATTTTCCGTGTGGCGAACAGGGTGTCCACATAGACATCCAGAGCGCTCCAGAAAAGGCTTGCCTCCGACGAGTCGACCAGTTAGCATCTAGGCCTCGGCGGAAGGCTGGCGGAGGCTGGGGGATGCGAGCAAAACATGGGCGGCCTCGCAGGCGAATGCCGGCGGGCGAAGATGAAAATTGCCCCTTCCCTCCCCTCCCCTCCCCTCCCCCCTCCCCGAGAGAGGCCCCCGCCAGGGCACCCGGGGCTGCTGCAAGCGGCCACGTGGTGCCAGGTCTCGTTGCAGTCGCATGTCGACCGTGGGCCAAGTCTGGCTCGCGCCGCCTCTGCTCGTGGTCCAGGCAGGCTGCCCGGCCCTTGCGGTGAAGCGAGCATCCGCGCGCGCGCGCGGTGCTGCGCGCCCTGCCGCTGGCACGGCAGGCAGCACGCGTGCGCGGGAGACTTGCTCCTCCTCCTCCTCCTCCTCCTCCTCCTCCCTCCTCCTCCTCCTCCTCCTCCTCCTCCTCTCCTCCTCCTCCTCCTCCTCCTCCTCCTCCTCCTCTCCTCCTCCTCCTCCTCCTCCTCCTCCTCCTCCTCCTCCTCCTCCTCCTCCTCCTCCTCCTCCTCCTCCTCCTCGAGCTTTCTCGTCGCACCGTCCCTAAATCCTGGCGCGGCGGCCTGCAGGGGGCACTGGGATAATGGGCTGGGTTATGGAGGCGGAGGAGGACGGGGATGCTCTCTCCCAGGAGGGGGGCAGGGCCGCGGGAGGGGGAGGGTGGAGGCATGTGCCGGGATCGGGAGGAGGAGGAGGGCTGTGGGGAAGGAGGGTCGGCGTCATGGCGGCAGGCCCTTGTCATCCTCGTTGTCCTCCCCCTCTTGTGACTCCTCCGCTTCCTCCACTTCCTGCTTCCCTTCCTCCCTCTCGCCTCCATCCCCCGCGAGTCTACCCCCAGACCTGTCCTGGAGCGCGTTCTGACTACGATTTCGAGGCGAATCCAGCCGTGGCGATACGCCCCTCCCCGCCCGAAATCGGATACCGTCAACTCCCACCCGCCGTCCTCCTCCCTCCTTCCCCTCGTTGTCGTCCGACTCCCTCCCCTCCCTCCCCTCGCTCCCCCTCCCTCCCCTCCCTCCCCTCCCTCCCTCTCTCCCCCTTGCCCCCCTTCCCTCCCCCTCCTCTCCCCCCTGCAGCATCTCTCATGCCCCGCCCCCCGTCCTCTAGCCGTTCCAGCCCGAGGCTGCGTGGGGTGGTTGACGAAAGCGCCCCCCCCCCGTGGGCTCTGACGTGCACAGGGTGATGGGCCCATTGTCCACCACCACCACCACAGGTAGGAGGGGGGAAGAGGGAGGACGGGGAGGTCCTCCTCCTCCTCCTCCTCCTCCTCCTCCTCCTCCTCCTCCTCCTCCTCCTACTACCCGTGGTAGTGGTCGTGGAACTGGGCCCACCACAGGGAGCCGCCTGCCGCATCCCGCCATGTCTCGCGCGGCCCGGTGGCGTGCCGCCGGCCTGGTCCTGGCCGCCGCCTTCGGCGGGGCGGCGGCCGACAACCGAGATCCTTACATGAGGTCGACGATCGAGGATCGAGGTTTTCGAGGGTCGAGGGGGGCGGTGGAGGAGGAGGAGGAGAAGGATGATGATGCTGATGCTGATGATGATGAGGATGAGGATGAGGATGATGATGCTGATGCTGCTGCTGATGATGATGATGATGATGATGGTGGTGGTGGTGGTGGTGGTGGTGGTGATGATGATGATGATGATGCTGATGATGATGATGATGATGAGGAGGATGAGGATGATGTTGATGTTGATGATGATGATGATGATGATGATGATGATGATGATGATGATGATGATGACGAAGTTGATGATGATGATAGTGGTGGTGGTGGTGGGTGTGATGAAGATGATGATGCTGATGATGATGCCCCTGCTGATGATGATGCTGATGATGATGCTGCTGCTGATGATGATGATGATGATGATGATGCTGATGATGATGATGATGATGATGATGATGATGATGATGATGCTGCTGCTGCTGCTGATGATGATGATGATGATGATGCTGATGATAATGATGATGATGACGAGGAGGACGAGGAGGAGGAGGAGGAGGAGGAGGAGGAGGAGGACCAGTGTAAACCCAAGACTCATCCACGATGTCGCAATACACCCTCCCTCCAAGTTCCCTCTTCATAGGCCCCTACACGGATTCATTTTCGCTGAGGGAAGAGCCTCGTTGGAAGAACCGCTTGAAAATTTTGAATTGTGCCAGAACGCCATTCCTGGGACATCAGCGCCGCGAATCACCGTTACTGTTGCGTCTTGACGATCCAGAATTTGTCAGAACGCCGTTCCTGTGACCTCAGCACCGCGGATCAACGTGACTGTTGTGCCCGGCCGCCACGACATCGCACAAAAACCTCATCTCTGGGACCCGCAGCCACTTAAGCTCAAGCAATTCTGCTTGAAGCTGGCCTCTCCCCGCGCCCAGTCCCGCCCTCTTGTGCCCGCTCCCTCTCTGCCCCACCCCCGTTGCGCGGACATGGCACGCTCGCCGCTGGGAGACGGGGGGCGCTCCTGCGCAGCCGCTGGCGAGCTGCTGCCTTGGAGCAGCTGCGCGGGAGCTTCGGGGCAGCCCGGCAGCACGACCGCTGGGCCCGCGACGCCGGCCACTGCCCGGGACGCCAGCGAGGCGCCCGACGGCCCTGGGCGGCCCACGGGACCGCCCAGGCCACGCAGCACTGAGCCCGCGGCCCCGCGCGGCCACGCGGTCTGCGACGGCGCTGGCCGCGCGCCCCCGGCTGCGGCGCCGGCGCGCTTGCGGGACGTGCTGGCGTTGGCGATGCCGCCGCCCAACCCCGATCGGGCGGACGCCGGTGGTCCGCTGGCCGCACAGGCCAAGGAGTGCCCGGTGGCCACGCAGGCCGAGGAGGGCATGGGCATGCCCTGCGAGCGGTGCGGCCAGCAGGAGGTGCTCCACGGCTGCGGCCACTGGCGGTGCGTCACGCCGACGTGCAGGCCCGCGTGGTTCCAGGCCCTGGCGGCCAGGAAATGGATGGTGCCGAAGACGCTGAAGCGGATGCTCGACACGCAGTTGTACGATACCCTCGAGAGGTGCGAGGACTGCCGGCCCGAGGGGCGGTGCTTGCGGGGCGACGTCGACACGCCGCGGTACTGCAATTTTATTTTCAAGAGGGGCACCTGCAAATTTGGCGCAAAGTGTGCTTTTTGCCACCTGCACGGCCGTGGGGTGTCCCACCACGGCCAGGCAGGAGCCGAAGAGGGTACAGTCCTGAAGTCCGTGGCCGCGGATCCGCCCAATGGCGAGGCTCTGGCAGAACTGGCCTGCCAGTGTGCCATGCCCGCAGCCCGTTCGCCGCGCCGCCGGGCCAGCCTGCATGCGCCGCCCGGCGTGCTCCAGCCAGCGTCCTGCCGAGGCCCCCAGAAGGGTGGGGCCCCTGCAGCGATGGCCCCGAGGCGAGGCCTCGACGCGCCGTTCACGCCCCCTCTGCCGACCCGGTGGGACAGCATTAGGGGAACAAAAAGTGACATAAACATAAAAACTCGGAGGTCCGCGCGGATTTCTCGGATCGGAGCTGAACCCCCCTCCCCGGCGCGCGGAGCGCGCCAGGGGCGGCGCCCCTGGCGCCGCCGGGGGGCCCCAGCGCCGATCCGAGAAATCCGCGCGGACCTCCGAGTTTTTACATTTATGTCACTTTTTGTTCCCCTAAGCGTGCGCCTGCCGCCAGGCTTGCACCCGACGCCGGACCCCGGGCCAGCCCTCGCTGCTCCCGCGCTCGCGGGCGGCGCCTTCGGAGAGGCCTCGCCGCCGCCCTCGCCGCCGCCCGAGGGCCCCTGGCCTGCCAGGGCGGCCCGGGGGACTGCGCCCGTCTGCGCAGGCGCCCGACGGGGCCGCCCGCCGCCGAGCGCGAGGATTGCCGCGCACGGCTCGGCCCCGTGGAGGGCGGTGCTTTACACGCTGACCGTGTGAGCCACTGTCGCGCCCGCTGGCCACGCGCAGAGGGGGCTGTGGGGGAGGGGGGGGGCTCCCTCGAGGCACCCCTGCTTCTCAGAGCTCCTCCTCCTCCTCCTCCTCCTCCTCCTCCTCCTCCTCCTCCTCCTCCTCCTCCTCCCCCTTAACCTCCCTGTGCGCGCCGCCCGGCCTGGTCAGAGGATCTCCTCGCCCGGAGGGGGGGGGTGCGGCGCTGCACAGGGGCGCGGGCCTCGCGCGGCGGCAGAGGGCTGCCTCGCCGTGGGCTGCCCCGCGGCCAGGGGTGCTCCGTGGATTGGGCCTGGACAGGGGCGGCCAGGAGGGGCCCTTTGCCATGCTCGCGCTGTGGATCTCGCGGGGGGGGGGGAAGGAGGAGCTCGCTGCGGGGCAGCGAACGCGATTTGTGTTTCTGGGGCGACGGGGGAGAGGGCAATCTTTTGTAGGGCAAGAGCAAGCATGAGCAGCCCAATCGTCGGCAAGAGTACACCTGAAATCAGAGCTTCTCTCGCGAAGGGCGGCTGCAAGGATTGCCGTTGACCGATCAAGCGCGCCCGCCGAGCGTACGGGGATCTGGCCCTGGAAACAACGCTGCCCCCCCAGCGACCTGCAAGGGAGGAGGAGCATGAGGAAGCGGAGGGTGGAGGGTTCGGATGCAGCTCCTGGGAGGCCAGCTTCTGACTCAGGGCATGCCCTGGCCCGAAGTCCGGCTTACTCCGGCCTGCTCCCGCTCCATCCGGCGGAATCCGGCTACGTCCCTTGCAGTCCCGATTCATCCACGGCTCAATCCGGCGCAGCAGCCCCCCAGTGGGGTTTCATTCTCCCAAATGCTTCCGGAAAAGACCTCCCAGTAGCTGCCACCTGCGGAGGGGGGGCAGCTGGGTGCGGCCGTGCAGGCGCGCCGATCCGACGCCCGGAGCAGCGCCTGCCAAGGAATTGTCCTCGGCCTCGCTCGGCGGGGCGTTTCGTTCCTGGGGCCACCTCTGTCTGTCGCGTGAGTACTCGAGTAGTCGCAGACGCGGCTATGGGCTGTCGGCGCGTGGATCAGTGGCGATTCACGTTTCCGCACCGTCCATGTTTTCAGGGGTTGGCCAGCTCAGATGGCCCCCTGTCTCTTTTGCGCTTGGAGCGCCCATGTTTGCAGCGTGTTGCTTGCATGAAGTCGTGGAGGGGCGAGGGTGCGAGGGGAATTGACGGAGGGGCCATAGTGAGGAGGGGCGAAACGGATAATCTTGTCAGCAGGGTGCGAGCTTATGTTTTTTTCAGCTGTGTCTCTGGCTGAACTTCAACCGAGCGCCTGGAAGGCGTACGGTTGCGTTTTGTTAGCAGTATATTTGAAGGCAAATTCAGACAACCGTTCCCGATTCTCTCTTCTCCATCGAAAAGTGACGGAAAGTGAAGAAATCCTCCGATCCTCTCACGTCCATGCGAATCCCCACCGGTCTCTCTCTCTCTCTCCCGTCGCATGCCAGCGCGATAGAAGATCTACTCGAAGAATGACTTCCGTGTCGCTCCGGTATCATGCCTTCCTCCTCTCTCTAGGCCAGCCACGGCCCGTGGCATCCTTGCCTGTGGCCAGTTTTAATGCGAACGTGATTCTGGGCTGAAAGCCCTCCTGGACGTTGTTCAATAATCTCTCGGGTTAGGGCCTGGCACTGAGTGTGCATTATTTGCAGCGCCGAGCGAAGTTCGTAGATCTCCGAGTCGGGTGACGAGTTTGAGCGCCGAGTAGAAAACAAAACACCATTTCTGCGACGTTGACCATGAGAATCCTGGAAACTGCTGCAAACTCTGAAGACGAATGTGCGCGGCGCTAAGGCGAGAGCTACATTTTGAAACGGAACCGCCCTCCATCCGTGAAACATTTGCGAATTTTTCCCTACCTAGGCTCTGCCTAGAGGGTTCTTACTCTCTTTGCTTAAAGGGGACGGGCAGTGGACCCCGCCCCGGGCGGTTCCCCCAGTATCCGCCCCGCGGTTCCCCCAGTTATGCCCCCTTAGCTTAGCGTTGCTTATCTCATCTTAGCTTAGCTTATTTCATCCTAGCTTAGCTTAACTTCATCTTAGCTCAGGCTTATCTTAGCTTAGCTTACCTTCATCTTAGCTTCGCTGAGCTTTAACATAGCAGAGCACAGCATAGCATAGCATAGCGTAGCATAGCATAGCGCAGCACAGCATATCATAGCATAGCCCAGCATAGCATAGCATAGCGCAGCATAGCATAGCATAGCATAGCATAGCGCAGCACAGCACAGCGCAACATAGCACAGCGCAGCATAGCATAGCATAGCATAGCATAGCATAACATAGCATAGCATATCATATCATATCATAACATAGCTTAGCATAGCATAGCGCAGCAGGACATAGCTTAGCATAGCTTAGCATAACATAGCATAGCATCGCATAGCGCAGCATAGCATAGCATCGCATAGCGCAGCATAGCAGAGCATAGCATAGCATACCATAGCATAGCAACTAATGCTGCTTTCCTAGGGGCTCCAACTTCTAGGTAGGGTCGCACTGGGGTAATTAAAACGAGTATGCGCGGCGCTGGGGCGAGAACCACATTTTGAAAATGGGCCGCCCTCCATCCGTGAAGCTCTTGCAGTTTCTAAGCTTCAGGACCATCAACGGTGAGGAAGCATGCGAAACGCCCGTCTCGCCCTTTCGACCCGACTCAGGGTGAGACAGGGAGGAGTTATCCGCAAGGAGACGGGGTGGAGGAGGAGGAGGAGGAGGAGGAGGAGGAGGAGGAGGAGGAGGAGGAGGAGGAGGAGGAGGAGGAGGGGGGAGGAGGACCAGTGGAACCCCGAGACTCATCAGCGATATTGCAAGAAACCCTCCCTCCAAGTTCCCTCTTCGAAGGCCCCTACAAGGATTCGTTTTCACTGGGGAACGTGCCCCGTTAAAGACAACCGTTTGAAAATCCGCAGGTGTGCCAGAACGCCATTCCTGGGACATCAACGCCGCGAATCACCGTCACTGCTGCGTCTTGACGGTCCTGAATCGTGCCAGAACGCCGTTCTTGTGACCTCCACACCGCGAATCAACGTGACCGTTGCGCCCTGTCATTCCGCCATTCTGCCAACACATCTTTTCTGGGTCTTTGAAGCTCTTGCGGACCCTTCAGTCGAACGTGCCCCGGCGCTGAGGCGAGAGCCACATTCTGAAAAGGGGGCGCCCTCCATCCGTGAAACCTTTGCAAACTTCAGGAGGGAACAAAAAGCACACAGACACAATTAATCGTCTATGCCCCAGAAAATATGGGAAAATATGGGAAGTGGGGGGGGGACGACAAAAACCCAGAAAATATGGGAAATACTGGGAATATTTTTATTTGTGTGTATTTATTTGTGTGTCCTGGGGCCCCTTCAAAACTTTTAAGACGAATGTGGTCGCCGCTGGGGCGAGAGCCGCATTTTGGAAACGGGCCGCCCTCCATCCGTGAAGCCGTTGCGAACTTTTGAGACGAGTATGCGCGGCGCTGGGGCGAGAGCCGCATTTTGAAAACGGGCCGCCCTCCATTCGTGAAGCTGTTGCAAAGTTTACGCTTCAGGACCATAGATGGTGAGGAAGTCTCAAACGAAACGCCCAGCCCGCCTTTCAACTGGCCTCGGGGTCCGACAGGGAGGAGTTCTTTATGCTAGCCAGCGTGGACCCCAAACAGTAGGCTCTTGCAGTCTATGCGGTGCAATCTATGTGGTGAAATGAATCTTTGACCGTCTTGAAGCTGTCCTCTCTACTGCACGTGCAAACATCCCACCCTCCCACCCGCAACTTGGTCGCAAGACTTCTTAAGACAAGACCGTGACGGTAGGTACCACATGGCACTTGGCCACGACACCGACGCCGACGACGACAGCGACAACGGCGACGACGGCGCCGCCGACACCGACTACGACGACACCGCCGACGTCGACGTCGACGAAGACGACGACGACGCCGACGCCGACGCCGACGACGACGAAGACGACGACGACGTCGCCAACGAAGACGACGACGAGGGAGGAGGAAGGACGACGACGCGACAACGACGACAACGACGACGAGGGAGGAGGGAGGACGGCGACGACGCGAACGACGAAGAAGGAGGAAGGACGGCGACGCCGACGACGACAACGACGAGGGAGGAGGGAAGACGACGACGACGACAACGACGACGAAGACGACGACGACGGCGACGAAATAGGAGGGACGACGACGAGACGCCGACGACGGACGACGACGACGACGAGGGAGGAGGATGACGACGAGGGAGGAGTGAAGACGACGACGACGGCGACGACGACGGCGACGAAATAGGAGGGACAACGACGAACCGCCGACGACGACGACGAGGGAGGAAAGACGACTACGGCGACAACGACGACGGAAGCGACGACGACGCCAAGACGACGACGACGACGACGAGGAAGGAAAGAAGACGACGTCGGCGACGACGACGACGACGAGGGAAGAGGGAGGAGGAGGACGACGACGACGACGCAAGAGCTCGCGCGGAAGCTTTTTTAGCAAATCTGTGTTGCGTAACCGTGTGTTTCTGTAGGTTTTTTGGACACACGATTTTGAAATCTTTCCGAAACCGATGGGTTTTGAAGGTTTTCGGCATACGCGCGCGACGACGCGCGCGTCTGCACTTCGTCTCATTTTTCGAAGAGGGTTCTCGCGACGGCACACGCGCAAGGGCGTTCGACAGATTTCGACATGCGCGCGCGCGAAGTTTGTGAAAATCTTGAAAAACTTATGTTTTTCTCTGAAGATTTCGCACGAGCTCGCGCGGAAGCTTTTTTAGCAAATCAGTGTTGCGAAACCCTGTGTTTTTGTATGTTTTTTTTGGAAACTCGATTGTGAAATTCTTCCGGCACCGAAGGTTTTCCAAGGATTCCGACATGCGCGCGCGACGACGCGCGCGTGTGCACTTCGTCTCATTTTTTTGCAAGGGATTTGCGAACAAGTGTTATGCTAGAGCAGAACATGTCACCGCATAGTGTTT